CAACATCATTAAAATATCCATACTGCCAAAGCAATCTATAGATCCAATGCAATCCCTATTAAAATACCAACAGCATATTTCACAAATCTAGAACAAAATCTCCAAAAGTTTATATGAAACCAAAAAAAGACACCAAATAGCCACAGCAATCCTGAAAAAGATGAATAAATTTGGAGGTATCACAATACTTGATATCAAGCTATACTACAAAGCCATCATAATCAAAACAGCCTGGTACTAGCACAAGAACAGGCAAATAGATCAATGGAACAGAACAGAGAAGCCAGAAATCAAGCCAACACATCATGTGCAATTAATATTCGACAAAGGTGGCAAGAGCATACAATGGAGTGAAGACAGTCTCTTCAATAAATAGTGTTGGGAAAATTGGACAGGTACATGCAAAAAAATGAAACTAGACCACCAACTTACTCCACATATAAAAAATAAACTCAAAATGGGTAAAATATTGAAATGTAACTCATGAAACCATAAAAGTCCTAGAAGAAAATGCAGACAGCAAAATCTCAGACATCACATGTAGCAAAATTTTCACCGATACATCACCTATGGCAAGAGAAACAAAGGAAAATATCAGTAAGTGGGACATCAAACTGAAAAACTTCTGCACAGCAAAAGAAACCAACATCAAAATGAAAAGAGTACTCACTGTATGGGAGAACATATTTGCCAATGATACATCAGATAAAGGGTTAATTTCCAAAATATATAAAGTACTCATACAACTCAACAAAAGGAAGACAAACAATCCAATTAAAAAACAGGCAGAAGACCTGAATAGACACTTCTCCAAAGAGGACGTACAAATGGCCAAGAGACATATGAAAAAATGCTCAACGTCACTAATCATCAGAGAGATGCAAATAAAAACAACTATGAGGTATCCCCTCACACTTGCCAGAACGACTGCCATCAACAAATCATCAAACAAGTGTTGGCGAGGCTGTGGAGAAAAGGGGAGACTCTAGTACACTGCTGGTGGGAATGCAGACTGGTGCAGCCACTGTGGAAAACAATATGGTGTTTCCTCAAAAAATTAAAAATGGAACTGCCATTTGACCCAGTGATTTCACTTCTAGGAATACATCCCTAGAAGCTTGAAACACGGATCAGAAAGAATATATGCACCCCTATGTTCACAGAAGCACTATTTACAATTGCTAAGATCTGGAAAAAGCCCAACTGTCCTTCAGTAGATAAGTGGATAATAAAACTGTGGTACATTTACACAATGGAATATTATGCAGCTCTAAGAAAGAACGATTTCTTACCCTTTGAGACAACATGGAGGGACCGGGAGAGTATTATGCTAGGTGAAATAAGCCAGTCAGTCAGAGAAAGACAAATACCACATGATCTCATTTGTGGAATATAATGAACAAAATAAGCTGACGAACAAAATAGATCCAGAGACATGGAAGTAGAGAACAGATTGACAAACCTCAGAGGGAAGGGAGCTGGGGGAGGTGGGAAGAGAGAAACCAAAGAATTTATATGCATATATGCATAAACCAATAGACACAGACAACAGTGCAGTGAAGGCAGTGGGGGGGCTGTGGAGGGGGGAGGAGGATGTCAATGGGGGAAAAAAGAAGGGGCATCTGTGATACTTTCAACAATAAAGATAAATTATAAAACAAGAAGAAGAAGAAATTGGGTAGACCATTTTCCATGTGTTTGCTAAGAGGATTGGCTATAGCCATTACTTGGAAAGAGGCTGCTTGATAATGGAGCCACGCAGAGGAAAACAAAACTAAGAGACAGAGAGTGAGGCTGTTTGACATCCTAATTTCACGTCTCAGGACCAGCTGCCCCAGATCTACCCCTGCTACTCCGGCAACATGAATCATGCATTCCCTTTGTTGTAGTGTTTGGTGGTGGCGGTTTGGTGAGTTGGTTGTTTAGTCCGCTTGAGTTGGGGTTCTGTCACTTGGAACCAAAAGAGCTATGGGAAGAGCAGGGACAGTGACAGCTGAGAGCCCAGGGTAGAACTAGCACTGAAGAAATGACACTGAGGAAGATGAGCCCGAGAAGAAAGCAAGAGGAGGAGGAACCCAGGAAAGTGCAGTGCCAGCAGAAGAGAGTTTTCAAAGAGAAGCATGTGGTCAGTCCAGTCAACTGCTACTGAGAGATAAGACAGTTACTAGGATATCATGCATTGGCTTTAGCAATAAGGCAGTAGTTGGTGGCTTTTGTGAGGAAGGTTTCAATGGAGCGATGGGAGTAGAAACCAGATTGAAGGAGGCTGAAGAGCTGAGGTGAGGAAGAACAGCCAGTGAATAGAAACAACTCTAAATCAAGAAGTTGCATTGTGAAGGGGAGGGTTGCCAGAGGGAGATGTTTTCAGCTGGATGAGATAGACGAATGTGTAAAAGCTAATGAGAAAGATGCAGGAGAGGGGATAATTGAGAGAGGTCCCTGAGAAGGGAGGAGGGAGAAAGGTCAAGAGCACAGGTCAAGGCATGGATTTAAAGGTTGGCCCAGCCCTGGCCAGTTTGGCTCAGCGGTTAGAGCGTCGGTCTGTGGTCCAGAGAGACCTGGGTTCGGTTCCTGCTAAGGGCACGTACCTCGGTTGCAGTTTGTCCCCAGCTCTGGTTGGTCATGTGGGTGGCAGCCACTCGATGTGTCCCTTTCGCATCCATGTTTCTCTCTCTCTCTCTCTTCCTCTCTCCCCCTCCCACTCTATCTGAACAAAATAATGGAAAAATGTCCTCCGGTGAGGATAAAAAAAATAAAAATAAAAAAAATAAAGGTTGGCCCTAATTCAAGGGAAGGATACCTCTTCTTTTGGAACAGAATTGAAAAAGAGAAGGATGCCTGAAAAATTAACTAGATTTCTTAGCATAGCAGGACCTTGAGGTGTTACTGTCTGAGAGCCTGTCTTCTCCATAAAGTAGCAGGCAGGATCATTTGCCGACAGTGAGGAGAACCTAAGGCAGGAGTTTTAAGGAGAATGGAGGCCATTTGAAAAACTGCTGTGGAGAATAGGAGAGCGAGCAGGAAACACAAAATTGGCTGGAAGCAAGGAGGGCCCACCCGATGACAAAAACCATGCCATAGTTTTACCAAAATCTGGTAAGTCCAAGAAAAAATGAAATCTGAACATAAATGTTTTATTATCGTGAGACAACTGATTTCCAGGGGGTCTCTTTTATAAAAGAAAAATGTTGGCACTGGGATACTTTCCATTACTGATCTGAAAGAGGAACTTCTCGGCTTGCCAAGGTGACACCCAGCTTTCCTGCATAGGAAACCGCCCACCTGGTGAAGAGAAGCCACACGGGGATCTCACGAATGGTGTGGCAGAGCCCAAAGTGGCCGAAGAGATTCAGCAGACTAGAATGTGATCCTGAATCTGGGTTTAAAAAACAAAACAAGACTCAAACTGAGCTTGTAAAATCAAGGCTTTGAGAGCTTAGTGGTCACCCAGTTAAGAGATCAGAGTTACCAGCAGCAAACCCTTAAGCGCAGATATAACCCTTGGGTTGGGCAAATACCAAATGCCAAGAGGCTACTACATAGGGTCCTTCTCCGTGTTAAGACTCTTAAGTTTCAGTTGAGAGTGATAAGGGTTCCTGTGAGACATCTGCACTTGAAAGATCTCATCTGCTGGCCACATTAGCCATGTATACAGGGTGGGACAACAGTCAGTTCACAATTGTTCGTATGGCAAGTATAATAGTTAATTAATAAATAGCAGTACAAAGAATAACTGTGTTTTGCTTACTCACAACTATACACCTACTTTTGTCCCGCCCTGTATTTTCAAGTTCTATCCTTACATTTAGCTTCATCAGCAGCAGTTTTGGGACCATATTGTCAGCCCTTCCTGAAATGTCTTCTTTGAATTGCAACGTAGCCTTGTGATCTCTGTCTTCAGAAAGGCATGACATGAATACTCTGAATAGGGTCATATTTTAGAGCAGAGAGTATCTCCCATTGAATTATTCCTTATTCTTCATAAGGGAAAAACAAATGAAAACAAAAACCCAGGTAGGGCCCTGGCCAGTTTGGCTCAGCGGTTAGAGCGTCAGCCTACAGTCCAGGGAGACCCGGGTTCAGTTCCCGCTGAGGGTGCGTACCTCGGTTGCAGTTGGTCCCTGGCCCTGGTTGGTCGTGTGGGTGGTGGCTACTCAGTGTGTCCCTTTCATGTCAATGTTTCTTTCTCTCTCTTCCTCTCTCTCCCTCCCACTCTATCTGAACAAAAAATGTCCTCGGGTGAGGATAAAAAAAAAAAAAAAGAACCCAGGCAGGAACGTTGTCATCCTAGCCTTCCTTGCTTGGGTTTTCATTTATCTGCCCCATTTCTTAACTATCATTTCCAGGTTCTTGAGCTGGAAAGGTCATCGCTCCTGGCCCATCACAGTGCTCTGATTCTCCTTCTCCACTTTCACACATTTAGGTTGTCCCAGAAGCAAGGGGGTGTGCTAAGATTACATCATCCCTACCCCTGAAGGGTTCAACAACGGATGCCAGCAGAGCGACAGGTGCTGTGTCAGCTGTAGAGGGTCAGAGAGGCAGATCATCTCTTCCAGGACAGGCAGAAAGAGGCAGGAAAGCCCCTGAGGAGGCAGCACTTCAGCAGTCTGCTCGGAGGAGGAGGATTTCTCCAGGCAGGAAAGATGTCTGGAAAGCAGAGGGAGCAGCCAAGGATACAATAACAGGAGACGTGAACAGGCTCCCAGGGGCAGTGAGGTGCACAGCACGTGTAGCACAGGGTGTGTAGGGAGCGGTCGGAAGATGAGTCTCGACAAGTGAGAAGGGACCAGAACAGACACTGTATGGCTAGAGAACAGTTAAAAAGTTTGGACTGTATCCTGGCCCAGGTGTGAATCAATCATTTCCACCCCCTGGCTAGCTTAGATAAGATTAGAATGTTTGAAAGAGATTTTTTTTTTTTTTCTAAAACACAAGGGAAAAACAAACAAATACAAAACAAAAGGCAAACATACAAAGGCATAAAAAATGAACAGCTCGCCAGCCTCATTCTGGATGAAAATGGACACTGCTGTTCAAGGTGTCCAGAAATGGTTAATGAGACACGGGTTATGCTTCCATCACAGTAATTTTATTATAGTGGTGACAATGAAAGCTGTAACATTGAAAAGAAAAGAAAAAAATGAACAGCTCACAGATCCCAGATGTCTTAGCCTGCTTCTTCACTAAGTTCTAATTCCAGATTGGCTGGGCTCAGAGAGTCTGTAAATAGATGGTCCAGCCCAAGCCCTCTTTCTCTCCTCAACTCATCTGTGTTGGCCCTAAAACAGCCTACTGCATCTTTCATCCACAGGCCCAAAATTGAGTTGGATGGAAGTTTTGCTCCTCTGGATCCCATCTCTTAATCCTCACCCCTGGGCAATCTTGCTTGCACTGAGGTTGGCTTAGTTTCTGCTCCTCAGCTGCCCTGACCCCTGGAGGTCAATTCCAGATCAGGGGTCAGAAAACACTTTTCATAAAGAGCCATGTGGTCAATCTTTTAGGCTTTGTGGGCCATCTATATTTCTATCACAACTTCTCAGTTCTGCTGTCTTATCATGAAAGCAGCTACAGACAATATGTGAACAAAAGGATATGGCTGTGTTCCAATAAAACTTTATTTATGGACACTGAAACTCAAATGTTATATAATTTTTTTAAATGTATTGATTTTAGAGAGAGAGGGAGAGCGGGAGAGGGGGAGAGAGAGAGTGAGGAACAGAGATTTGTTGTTCCACTTACTTATGTATTCATTGGTTGCTTCTTGTATGTGCCCTGACCAGGGATTGAACCCACAATCTTGGTGTATTGAGACGACTCTCTAACCAACTAAGCTACCCAGCCAGGGCTTAACTCATTTTCTTTTTTTTTTTTTTTTTTGGTACGTGCCCCTAGCGGGAACTGAACCCAGGACTCTCTGGTCCGCAGGCCGACGCTCCAACCGCTAAACCAAACCGGCCAGGGATTATCTCATTTTCATGTGTCATGAAGTATTATTCTTCGTTTGATTTTTTCAACCATTTAAACATGTAAAAACCATTCTTAGCTCACCAACTGTACAAACACAGACAACGGGCCAGTTGTGGCCAGTGGCCAGAATTTGCTAGCTCTTGTTTTAGGCACGAATTCTCAGAGCAAAGATGGCCTCATTTTGTTTTACCTGATCAATTACTTATTATAACTGATACCAGTAATACCAGTATATACCATGTGTTGAGCACCTACCAGATGCCAGGGGGTATGTACCACGGAGAGCTGCTTTGAAGAATAAATGAAAGAATGCATGTAAAGTACTTCACGTAACACTTCATCTGAGTTAAACATCAATAACTGTTAGCTACTATTATTTTTTATTATTGTTTATATATTTTAGCTCTGATCAGTAAATTTGACTCATGCAAGGTAGATATTAATATTCCACTGAGGATCAGAAAAATTAAGTCATTTGTGAAATCACATATCTATTGAGTTGCAGAGCTAGAAGCTGAACCAGATTTATCCGACTTCGAAGTCCATTGCCTTCACACTACATCACCACCTATTTATCTGAAGTCTATTCACTGGCCGGTGGTTAACTGCTGGCCTACAAATCGGCCGCAAGCATTTATGTCCCTCGAGCCTGCCATTTTGTGACAAGAGTAGCACAGGGCTTATTCTATTCTTGCTTCAAGGCTTAAGTGCCTGTAGGACCTCTTAGCTCTTGTTTCCTGCCAAGAGATCCTCTACCCCATGAGAACAGTCAAGATGACGGAGCTCAATAGACAATTAGACCTTTTCCCACTCAGATCTCCAACTCTGCCCATTTCTCCAGGTTCTTCTGATGACTCGTCCTTAGGTAACTTCCTGAAAGTGGCACTCCCAGAATCCTACCAGTGCAGCATTCTAACTGAAAAATACTTTACGTGTTCATGATGACCCCAGATAGTTTCCACCAAAGGTATGAAGAGTATCGCTGCATAAAAACCATTCATCTGGCATGACGTTTTCAGAGTTGTCCATAAAATGTTATTGAAGTTATTGTACTTATTATAAATTATATTAAATCCTTCCTTGAATTTAGTTCCAGGGGGAAAAAAAGTCTTCTCTATAATTGAATCTGTATATTTAATCTCGCCAGAATAAGATAATGACGTAACCCAACCTGCTTCCTTTTATATCGTGGCTTCCAAGAAGTTTAAAGCCAAATTCCATGCCAAAATGTCTCATCTCAGGTGCCTGGTAGGATCTATTTCTGCTTCACTGCTATGATCACTTTTATGTTTTATCATTTTAAAAATAGCTAGAATATATATACCAGGCACTATGCCTTTCCTGCTGTGTCCCTCCTTCTTAAATGGTATCAAATATGGTGCTTGTTTTACTGAACTACCCTAAAGCCTTATGTTTTACCTTACATCCTATACTTCAGGTCTCCTGGAAGCAGGCAGATCCAGATAACTGAATTTTTTAAAAGGGGGCTTACTCTGGCCAGGTGGCTCAGTTGGTCGGAGCTTTGTCCTGTACAGCAAAAAGTTATGGGTTCAATTCTCTGTCAGGGCACATACCTAGGTTGCAGGTTTGACCCCTGGTCAGGGTGTGAATGGGAGATAACCAATTGATATTTCTCTGCCCCCAACCCCCACCCCTTTGCTCTCTCCAAAAATCAATAAAAACGTATTGTCAGGTGAGGATTTAAAAAGGGGGGTGGGAGGGGGGCTCTATTCCCAATTGTACATAGTTGCAAAGAGCCAACCCAGCTTTCTCCTCACGGGCCACAAGATGGGGATGTCATTCCACAAAAATCCGGGTTTTCCCAGAGCGCACTGTCTTCTATATCTCCTCTTCTTTCTCTGTACTGCTGCTTGCCTCCATGTACCACTCGGGTCCTCCATGCAGGCGCTAAGAACACCAGGCAGTACCCCACTTGGTCTGTGCCAAGGGCACATGAGCAGGACCCCAAGCCTTCTGCATCCGTAGCCCTAGACACCCATCCTAATGAGACTCCTTTAGCTCTGGGTGCTTCCTCATTGGAATCACAACTCCCTTTGGCATTTGACACCTGCCACTTCACCTCATATCACCTCCCCCGACTCTATCTGTTCCCCTAACACCTTGCCTGGAGTCAACGGAGGTTTATATAACTAAGAGTTTATGTCCAGGGGTGACTGGCCGAGCAGCTAGGATAAAGCTGGCAGACAGATGTTACTAGGTAGAAAAATCGGAAACCAGAGAGGGTATGTGGCACAAATATTTGAGAATGAGTGAATGAATGAACACCATTGACAATTGGTGACTCATCACCACTTTCCCACCTAAATACCCAGACAAAGCCAACCAGACACCAAATTCTAAGGACCCAAATTTCTTCAGTAACTATAATCCTATGAATTTGCTGCAGCAAGGCAGATAAAGATGGAAAACTTGGCCCTGGCCGGTTTGGCGCAGTGGTTAGAGCACTGGCCTGCAGACCAGAGATTCCCAGGTTCAGTTCCCGCTAAGGGCATATACGTGGGTTGCTGTTTCTCCCCGGCCCTGGTTGGGGTCATGTGGGTGGCAACCACTTGATGTTTCTCTCTCACATCGATCTTTCTCTCTCTCTCTTCCCACCTCTCTCCCTCCCACTCTATCTAAAGATAAATGCAAAAATGTCCTCAGGTGAGGATTAAAATAAAAAAAAGATGGAAAACTTGGTTTCTCTTTCTGCTTAAATAAGAAAACCATAGCACACCTCTGTCAGCTCGAAGTGGTTCCTTGTCCACATGAGGCAGAGGCCAGGTTTTTGCTTTGAATTCTCCCTTTGCCTGAACTTGCCAGTGACTCCAGGAAAACCACTTGATGATTCTGGGCCTCACTGTTCTCATCTGTAAAAAATGGAGATGGCACGAAATGGTCTCTCTGGCACCTTCCAGCCTTACACTTCTGTGACCATCCCTAGGAATCCAGCATTCTTTCCTTGGGCTGGGTTTCACCAGACGCCTGTTTTACTTTTGGAAGTGCACTTCCCAGTCTTCCTTATCACTAATGTTATCACATGCGCCTGGACTTTGGTCATCTGTTCATAACGTGATGTCAATGTGACCTATATTTGGTGATGAAATACACATAACATAAAGTTTACCATTTTAACCTTTTTAAAGGTACAGTTCAGAGGCATTAAGTATATGTACAACATTGTACAAAAATCACCACCATCCATCTCCATAACTTTTCATCTTTCCAAACGGAAACTTTCTACCCATGAGACCACAACTCCCCACACCCCTCTCCTCCTGGCCTTTGGCAACCACCATTCTACTTTCCATTTCTATGAATTTGAGTACTGTAAGTTGAATTATACAGTTTGTCCTTTTGTGACTGGCTGACTTCACTTACCACGATGGCCTCAAAACTCATCCATGTTGCAGTATGTGTCAGAATTTCCTTCCTTTTTAAGGCTGAATAACATTTCAGTGTGTGTGTGTGTGTGTGTGTCACATTTTGTTTATCCAATCCTCCACTGATGGATACTTGAGCTGCTTCCACCTTTTGAGTATTGTGAATAGTGCTGCCATGAACATGGGTATACAAATGTGTTTGAGATCCTGCTTTTATTTCTTTTGGATATATACCCAGAAGTGGAATTGCTGGATCACATGGTAATTCTACATTTACTATTCTGAGAATCCGCCACACTGTTCTGTTCAATGGGACTCTCACAGAGTCCAGAGTGTATTTGCCTGGAAGGGTTGTCTTGCCTCATTCTCTAGAGGAGCAGGACCCACTTACTATTCAAAATGAGTCCTGCCCTAGACACTGGACCTGGGGCTGCTCCTCACCCTGCCTCAGTATCAACTTCTACAAAGTGGGCTAACAATACTTAATTTATAGGGTTTTTAAAAAGGTCAGGGATGATATACACAAAGCCTGAGGAAAGCACTTACAAAATGAAGAAGAATCTTACTCTACTGACTGCAAAGGACCATTATGAAAACTAAATGAAACAATGTGTGAGAAAGCTGAGACTGTTAATGCATCCTGTAAATGCTAAGCCCTCAGCATGTCTTTCCGAATCATTGCTACTGCCTCCTAACAGTTCTTCCTGCCTCCTAGCCTCTTAAGCCTATCCTTCGCTCAGGCTTCGGGGTGAGCTCTCTAAAGCAGCTATGATC